AATGCTGTTTTTAAGGTATAATTGACATATAACATTTTATTAGTTTCAAGTATACAATATAATGATTTGATATTTTTTATATCACAAAATAACAACTACAAGTCTAGTTAACATCCATCCTCATACGTAGTTATGAAAAATTTTTTTTCTTGTGATGAGAACTTTTAAGGTCTACTCTCAGCAACTTTCAAATATACAATACAGTATTTTTTACTATAGTCACTATTCTGTAGATTATATCCCATGGCTTACTTATATAATAACTAGAAATTTGTACCTTTTAACCCCCTTCACTCATTTTGCATACCCTCCACCCCCTCACCTCTGCCTCTGTCAACCACCAATTTGTTCTCTGTATCTATAAGCTCTTGATATAGGTCTTGGAGATGATTTCTGGATTTGATACCAAAAGAAAGGTAACAAAAGCCAAAATAAACACATGGGACTACATCAGATTACAATCTGCACAGCAAAGGAAACCATCAACAAAATGAAGGGTAACCTACTGAATGGGAGAAGACATTTGCAAATCATAGATTCGATAAGGTGCTAATATCCAAACTATATAAAGGATTCAAACAACTCAATAGTTAAAAAAAAACCCATTCAATTAAAAAATGGACAAAGGATCTGTCTGAATAGGCATTTTTCCAAAGAAGATATACAGATGGCCAACAGGTCATAAAAAGGTGGTCAGCACTGCTAATCATCAGGAAAATGCAAATCAAAATCACAATGAGATATCACTTCCTACCTGTTAGAATGGCTGTTATCATAAAGGCAAGAAATAAACAAGTATTGGCGAGGATATGGAGAAGGGAAGCCCTTGTACCCTATTAATGGGAATGTAAATTGGTACAACCACTTTGGAAAACAGTATGGAAGTTCCAAAAAAAAATTAAAAATAGAACTACCATATGATCCAGCAATTCCACTTCTGGATATTTATCAAGGTAAATGAAAACACTAATTTGAAAAGATGTATGGCACCCCCATGTTCATCACAGCATTATTTACAGTAAACAAGATATGAAAACAACCTAAGTGTTCCTTGATGGTGAATAAAGAAAATGTGAGCTATATATATAGTAGAATATCATTCATCCATAAAAAAGAATGAAATCTTGCCATTTCCAACAACATAGATGGATATTGAGGACATTATGCTAAGTAAAATAAATTACACAGAGAAGGACAAATACCGTATAATCTCACTTATATGTGGAACCTAAAAAAAAAAAAAGGCAAAAACAAAACCAAAATAACCCCAAAATAAGCTCTTAGATACAAAGTATCTGCTTTTCACAGCTGAATTTAACCCATTTGCATTTATTGTCATTAGGCACAGTTAGATTTATTTCGGCCATCTTACTTCATGTCTGCTGTTTTAACTTTCTTATTTTTGTTTAATTTATTTTTGCCTTTCATTGGATTGGTTCCATTTACTTTGTTCTGTTTTTCTTTCCTATAATGATTAGGAAGTTTTGAGCTTAATTTTTATACTAGTAGTTATCCTATGTATATAGACATGTGTACATATACTCAGCATCTTGATGTAATCCTATGTTTAGCCTCTTCCGAAATGCGGCAAGAACTTTAGTAGTAACTTACTTTTTACTAGCTCCCACCCTCAAAAATGGGTCATCATAGATTTTAGTTGTAAATTGTCATTCATTTTCTTCAAATTGTGTAACAATATTTATTTAAACTTACCTCATGTTTTGTTGTTTGCTTACCATTGTTTATAATACTCATTTTTCTCTTTTATGGATCCATTTTTTGCTTTTCCGTAGTATATCCTCCAAGAATTCTTTTAGAAAGCATAGGTAATATAATTTCTAAGACCATCGATGTCTGAAATGACTATTTTTTTTCCCAGATGGTCCGTTTTGATTTTCAGCTTCCTACTGAGTTTTTAAAATTCTGAATGATCATATTTTTAAGTATCCTAGGTCTCTAGTTTTTGTTTTGAATAATAGACACACTCAAAATCTGTGAATATATTAATTACAATATTAACTTAATGTATTCTGTTCAATATAGGCCTTTCCATCCCCATTTCAGCCAGATCCACACTATTTCATCTGTTTCGTTGATTGTGGTTCTGAGTGGGATTTATTTAGGAAAAAAGGCTCCACTCCCTCCAGATGAAAGTGCAGTCTTCCTGCCTTTCCCTAGGGAATACTGGGGCAGCTCCCTCAGTCTGCTCATTGGTCCTCAGCCATAGATCCTATTTTCTTGGTCCGTCCAAATAATTCTAGGATGTCAGAGCTCAAAGGCCCTGAGTTCCAGGAACCCTGCCCCTCATTTCATATGTGAGGGGAACAAAGCAGGGATAGCCATGTGCCTCCCTCTGTGGGGCACATCACAGATTCTTGTGTCCACCGAGCCTTGCCCCTCTGGCACCCTGAGTGACTCGAGAGCATGTGCAGGGATGATGACAGGCTGTGGGGACAAGATCACTTTCTCGGGCACTAGGTAAAGGTGCTGCCTGAGGAGGTGTGGATTCCCGGGTGTCTCGATAGTTCATCCTGTGGCTTTCCTTGCCAACACACACCGCAGCTCCCACATCTGTAACTCCTGCCTCCTCAATTTCTGACTTACGTCTCCAAATGCCTATTCGAAGTCCCATGTAGATGTCTGAGAGGTTCTGAAGCCTGTGTCAAGAACTGAGGCCCCTAAACCCTGTTTTTCACCCAATTGTCCCCACCTCAGTATATGACACCACCATTTATTTGGCTGAGGTCCAAAACAGCCATTGTCTTCAGAGCCACTCTCTCTCATCTCCCCCATCTCCACATTTTCCTCCAGAAAGCCCTGCTCCTGTTGATTCTGTCTTAGAAAGTAGCCTGAATTAGCTCACTTCTCATAGCATCCACCCCACACTCCAACTCTGCCCCTTGGTCCTTAGTCCAACCCTCCATCGTGTCTTGCCTGGATTATTACACTAACCTCCTAACGAGTACCCCAGCTTCCACTCGTGGTCTGTGCTTTCCCAGCAACCAAGGTAGACTTTTCAAAAGTCCTACAGATCACGTGACTCTTGCTCAAACTCTCCAGTGGCCCCTGTCCTATCTGGAATGAAGTAAGGTTACCCGGGCGCAGCAGGCCCTGAGACCTGCCCCCGCCTCCTCTCTCTCCTCCACTCACCCTTCCCTGAGCTCCCCCAGGCCATCAGGCCCGCCCTTGTACACCTCCCCTCCCCGGTACCCTCTGCCTGGAATGCTCGTCCCCTAGGCCACATGGTTCTCCCCTGCTAGCATTTAGTCACTGCTTAAATATCATCTCCTGAGAGATGCCCTCCTTCCCTATCCAAAATAACACCAACTTCTGCCAGTTACCTCCAACCAGCCATATTGTTCTTCACAGTATATACTCATCTCCACGAGAAATTATATTATCCATTCATTTGTTTATCTCCCTACTAGATTATAAGTTCCATGAGAGCAAGGTTTTTGCCTTGTTCACCCTGTATCTATAGTACCTAGAATACTGCTTGGCACATAGTAGGTGCTCAGATAGTTCTTAAATGAATGAATAAATGAATGAACAAAATTGGATAGACTTCACATTAATTTTACGTTCAACTACTATTTGGACACTGTTTATGCCAAGCTCCGAGTAGATGGGTGGCTCACAAAAGCAGGTCCCTGCCTCAGGGAGCTGAAAGTCCAGCTGGAGGCTGATTAAATGTGCAGCAAGAACAATAACAAGAAGGGTCCATATAGGGGTGGGAGACTCGTAGGGGCTCAGGCAGCAGAATGCAGTGGGTCAGAGTCAGCTGCCAAGGCAAGGGAGTGGGGGAGGTGGGGGAGGGGTGAGAAGGAATCTCAGGCCCAAAGGTGGGGTAGAGCACCCCGGGTGGGGAAAGCAGACTCACAGAAGACAGTCCAGGCACGGTTCTAAGGGCTTTGGTATAGCAACTCAAAACAGCCCTGCTGATTCCCGTTTTATGGAGGCACAGAAAAACGAGTTGCCCAGGGTCACACTCTGGGAATGAGCAGCCGGACTCAACCCAGAATCTGGCTCCAGAATCTGTAACCAGCCACTCCACTGCCTCCAGGGAGAGGGAAAATTGGGTCAAGTCAGAGAAGTGAGCGAGAAAGAAGAATGAGGAGAGACTAGCAAATGAGTAGGGGCTTGCCAGGACGCTGAGGGGTTCAGACTTCATGGTGCCCATAGGACTTTGGCAGAGCCTGAGGGAGTCAAGCTTGCACTTTGAAAGTGAGATCGCCACCCCCACCCCAGCTGTGGCTGTGACCTCTCTGACACAGGCGGGGATGAGCATGTTATCTCAGAGCAGGCACCAGGAATCCACGGGGTGGGGTAGTGAGAGGGGATGGATGAGTTGAGGCGGGGAGACCCTTTGCTGAGAGAGTTCTCCCCAGCTCTCTGTTCCCGCCTCCCACCTTAGCTCCCCCTCCCACCACCCTGTATCAGCCCCTTCCCAGGAGGTAAGTGACCCTTGCTCACGAGGGGCTAGTCCTTCCCCATGGCCTGCCTGGTACCTTCCTGACCCAGATAGCCTCTCCAGGGCTTGCCCCAGACACATCCACAAGCAGGCTCTCCTCCCTAGGGACTGCAAAGTAGAGGCACTGTGTCCATTTACAAAGAGGGAGAGAAATCTCAGACAGTCAGGTAACTTCCCCTAGGAATCATTTTAGAGCATCTGAGCCCAGGTCTGGGCACTGGCCAGAGGGACTGTGAAGCAGAGTTGGTCTGACTTTCTGACTTTCTGAGGTTTTTCTATAGATAATTAAGGACTGGGGAGCAGCATGGGTTGGAATTGGTGGGCCCAAAAATGAGTCAGTTAGAGCCTTACATGAGGTGTCTGAGGCCCTACCGGGACCCTCACATCACAGCACAGGGAGCATGAGTGGCTTTTATAGGGACAGTTAAGATTGAGCCGCAGAGGGGACAGAAGCAGCATGGGGGTCTGCAGGCTGCTGGGGCTCCAGGGTGGATGGTGACAGCTCCTGACCGGCCCCATCCCACCCCAGTTCTGGACACAGCCGGGCAGGAGGAGTTCAGTGCCATGCGGGAGCAGTACATGCGCACGGGGGACGGCTTCCTCATCGTCTACTCGGTCACAGACAAGGCCAGCTTCGAGCACGTGGACCGCTTCCACCAGCTCATCCTGCGTGTCAAGGACAGGTGAGCACACCTGGGCCAAGAACTTGCTGGGCTCCTAGTTCGGAGCAGGCTCTGTCTGCCTCTGCCTCTGTCTCTGTCTCTGTCTTACCCCCACCCCACCCCACCGCATCCCCCACCTACGCACCTCCCTCCCTTCCCTCCCTGCCTCCTTTAAATACAGCACTAAAGATTCTCTCTCTCTTTCTTTCTCTCTCTCTCTCTCTCTCTCTCTCTCTCTCTCTCTCTCTCTCTCTCTCTCTCTCTCTCATTTTCAGGTGAAAGCTGAGGCACAGCAGGGCAGAGCTGGCTTCAGACCTTGGGCCCTCTGACTCCTACTCCTACCCTAGTTCTTTCTGTGGGGTCAAACTGTTTCTAGGGCCTCAAGGGGTCAGCTCCCTCCCATCTCTCCTAAACTGTCCCCACCAGTGAAACAACATCTCTGTTTTTCAGCTCCAATTTAAGCAAAATTGGAGTCATAGTAACATCTCTGTTTTTCAGCTCCGATTTAAGCAAAATTTTATTGTTAAAAAAATGAATTTTCTCCCCGGTTTACACTGTAAATGGTTACATTGCATTTGTGAGATTTACAGTCCCCTAATTAAAGGCTAATTTTTATTTCTTAGCATTATGTGGAGTAGTTAAATAATTTGGAGTCTGTTATAAGCCTAACTGGTCTTTTCAGTCAACGGGATCTTAAACGGGCACTGTAAAGAAAGTAAAAGGACCAATAGGAAAATAGCAAGCTTTGAGCAAATCTCAGTAAGTTTGAAAAATCCAGTTAACACCTATCCCAAAGGTAAAGGGTTAATAGCTTTATAAGGTAAAGGGGTACACAACTGACACACACACGCCTCCAAGAAAGAAATGCGGGTTAAGCCCCTGACTATAGGAATCTCAAAAAAGAAAACGTAAATACTCAGATGTGGGAAATATTCAACATTTTTGCTTATCAGAGAAGTACAAGGAGAAATAATAAAGTACCATTTTCACCTGACCAATTATAATTTTCTTACTGAAAATAGCCAACGGTGACAAAGACGCTGTGAGACTAGCATTTTGTTCGCTTTGAACAGCAATATGGCCACATATGTCAGTGGAAATCCTTAAGGCAGACATGCTTCTTGATTTCACCCTTTCTTTCCTGAGAGCCATCCTGATTTTGCAGCTGCCATTTACTGAGTGCCAGCTATGTGCCTGGCCTTAGTGCTCCTCACAAGCCATGGCTGATGGCCACAGCAGCCCTGCACGGTTCGTGCATCAGGGTGACCTAGAGATGGGATGTAGCAAGTCTGGGCACCCAGCCCCTAGCCCAGCAGCCTCTTGGTGCCCTCACTGACAGTGTCGAGCCAGGAGGTTCCCCGGAGGGCCCCTCGCTCACCTTGCAACAGGCCTAAGGCTTCAACCAAGACAGCCAGTAGCCTCCAGGCCCCTTCCCTTTCCAAGAGATGTGGAGGAAAGGACTCAGGTCAGGCCCAGGCCAGCGGGGAGGTGCCGTGTGCTATGTTATGCCTGAGCTGTGGCTGTACTGCCCTCACTGGGGTGGCGACAGCAAAACCTCATGAGCTACTGTTTCTTTATTCCTCAGGGAGTCATTCCCGATGATCCTCGTGGCCAACAAGGTGGACTTGATGCATTTGAGGAAAATCACCAGGGAGCAAGGAAAAGAAATGGCGACCAAACACAATGTAGGTTGTGTGTGTGTGTGTGTTGGGGGTGCCAGGAAATGGGTAAGAGTCAGAAGTCAGTACCCCATTACTCCCACGGTCCTGGCTGTGGGAATGGAACTCGGACCTCCTAGGTAGTGGGCTAGATTCCACAGAGAGGCTTAGCAGGCATATGCAATGTGGGGTATTTTGTGAAACAAGACAACAGACCAGAGAGAGAGCACCCTCTGGTCAGTCATTAGAGGCTCTGATGTGGGGAGCAAGTACCTTCACAGTGGACTGCCAGCTGTGGTGTACAGGCCACCTCCTGAGCCCTGACGCAGGAGATTCATCGCTGGGCTGTGCAGAGGATTGGCTTCTGTCTCCTTCTCTGAGCCAGTTGCCTGATTATGTTCAAGATCATCAGATGAGTTGCCATTCACTAAGCCCTGCTCCGTGCCAGGCATTGTGCTGGGGGAGCGTTCCTCACAAGCACACACTGAAGTGGGTACAATTATCTCCATCTCACAGGTACTCAAATTGAGTTTTGCCCAGGCCACACGGTGAACGTCGGCAGACATCTTTGTTTTGTTTTGTTTTTCACTGTGATGCTTCTTTGCCCTCTGGATGGTGCTGGGTAGGGTCACTGGGCTTCTTCTCACCGTTCTCCCATATCAGCACGGCCCATGGCCTCATTGGTCAATTATGTAGAAGTCCACCCTGCCTGCTCGGAAGTCTGCAAGGTTGCTTCTTCCCTGGTCCCAGCTCTGTGCGTAGCGGAAAGGGGCTCATGCGATGTAGCTCTGCTTGCCTCTGCCTTCTGTGTTCATTCACATATTCATTCAGCAGCCCTAGGCCCTGGAAAACACAGCTCCTTGCCTCATGGTGCTTCCTTCTAGTGACAGGAGAAAGACAATAAACAAAGCAAGTCAGAGTGTGTCAGAAGGTGACATGTACTATGGGAAGAAGGTTGGGAATGTGGGACGGAGGGGTGCTGTTCCAAATAGGGTGGTCAGGGAAGGCCTTGTGGGGAAGGGTGCATGTCCACGATGGCTGAAGGAGGTGAGGGGATTAAGCCCTGCGGATATCGGATATCTGGGGAAGGAATGTTCCAGCAGAGGGGATCATCAGTGCAGAGGCCCCTTGCTGATCATCAGGAACAGCAAGGAGGCCAGGGTAGCTGGAGTGGAAGGAGTAGGAGGGGGTGAGTAGCAGGAGTGGGAGCAGAGAGGCCTCGAGGATTTTTACTCAATGTGAGAGGGGAAACCATCCGCAGTTTTTGAGGGAGGAGTGACGAGGTTTGACTTATGGCTGAACAGCTTTTCTCTGGTGGCATGCAGAGAGAACGGTCTGTAGGGACAAGGGTGGGAGCAGCAAGACCATTTAGGGGCTGCTGCAATAACCCAGGTGCAGTGGACATGGACCAGTGTGGTAACGAGCAGTGGTAGGAATCTGGATATATTTCTAAAAGAGCCAACGGGATACGTTCACAGACTGGATGGGGGGTGAGAGAAGAAGAAAGGAATCGAGGGTGATTGCAAGGTTTGAGGCGTGAGCCACCTTCAGAGGACTGGGGTCACGGCAACTGGGCGGGGAGACTGTAGAAGCGAGTATGTGGGGACACCAGGAGCTTGGTTTTAGATCTCTTTAGTTTGAGGAGCCAAGTAGATACTCCAGTGGAAGTGTCAAGGCAGAAGTCAGATATACCAGTCTGGAGGTAAATACTGGAAACTAGCAGCACGTAGATAGAATTTAAAGCTATGAACCCCACCAGAGTGGGTGTAGCTAGGCAAGGGGCCTCTGGATTGAGGCCGGGGACACTTCCGTGTCGTGATGCGGGGAGATGAGGAAGCAGCAGAAGGGACCGAGCAATCAGTGATGTATGAGGACCAGAGTGGGATGTCATGGAGCCAGATAAAGGAAATTCCTCAAGAAGGATGGATGACCAGCCAAGACAGGTGCTGCTTAGAAGCAGCTGAGGCCTGGGAACTGACCCCTGGGTCTAACACTAGACGCATGCCTCCTCCACGGGCCCGACATCCTAACCAGAGAGAGGCCCGAGGAGCCATTGTCACTTCTCAGTCTTGGGCTCCATACAGTGACCTGAAGAGAGTTTGCTAAGGACTTTCACAAACACCTTCTTGGTCCCTCCTGGGTGTGTGAGTGGGGAGGGGAGAAGGGTACCGCAAGGGGGCAGCTCTAGTCCTATCCTGCAAATAAAGTGAATGAGACACAGGAGGTTAGGTGGTTTCCAGGGGCCTCAAGCTGGTAAGTAGGGCCCCACCCCCACCCCACTGGCACTCAGGTCTCCAGTCTCTCGGCCGATGCTTCTCCTACAGCCAGCACCGCCTCCTCATTTATCATTTGACCAAATACTCTACAAGCTGCTGTCAACAACACCCTCATTTTAGAGATGATAAGGCAAGTTCCTCTTTAGCTGACCAAGGCAGGTTGCCCCCATCCTGAGCAGGAAGATGGCATTTCTTAGCCTTTCGGTGTAGTCAAATGCTACTACTGTTTACTGCAAGGTTTCCCTTAGTCTAAGTCTTGTTGCTACTGAAATCCTGGAATTCTAAGAACCCAGATAATGCACATAGGTGTTTCTGCAGTGGTAGAGGCAGGACCCCCAGAAAGAAGGTGGAGGGTATCTGGGGACCTGGAGGATACTGCAAATCATGTACTTCTCTGAGCAGTGCAGTGGGACAGACAGCAGTGGTCTGAGGCCCTGCAACCTGAGACTTACTGAACCAGCAGGATTATAGGACATGAAAAGGCTCCAGGTAGGTCCCAGACTCAGCTGCAGGTGCCTTCCCGCTTCCCCTCTGAGTGTGCACAGGGAAGCACATAGTCCTGGCCTCACAAGGTCACATAGAACCCTGATACCAGGAGCTACTGGGGCACCTGCCACACCTAGAAGAAGCTCCCAAGCTGACCTCAGCATCCCCACCTGTCTGGGGGAGGCCAGGCAGGAAGTGGAACATGCACCCGGTTCAAACCTTAATTCTCTGCTGTGTGACCTTGGGCAAGTACGTCACCCCTTTAAGCTCGGCTTCACCAGCTGTAGAATGGAGATATTTGCTTACCTAAAAGGGTAAGCACAAGGACTAAGGGAGGTCAGGGACGTTGAGACCTGGGAAGCCAAACAGTCCACAGCCATCTCAGTGAACAGCCTGCAGTCCCAAAGCCTGCAGTGGAGAGCAGTTTCCTCTCAGGGTCATCAGTGGCACAAATATTTGTTGAATGAGTATTTCAAAGGCCTAATCCTTGCCCTTTGTGCTCTGCCCTTTGTGTCTGGTCAGCTACAAGACCCCTGCTTGAAGCCACAGCAGCATGTGAACATCGGATCTCTCATGATAAGAATCGATGGGAAGAACCTTTATGATGTGTTCTGGGCAATGGTTTACAATATGTTCCTCTAAAATAACAGCTTACTGTCACCCCACCACCGCCCACCCAATGTATTTAAAGTGTTGATCATTTTTATTTTATTAACCATGCTTTAAAAAAAAAAAATGTTATAATGAAAAGCCTTAATTGTAATGAGGAAAAAGTTACGAAAAATACCAAAGTTCTTCAGTTCAGTCACAATTGGCTTATCTCTATCTCATCTAGGGAAACCTGTGTATGTTATGTGAACCCCACGGGCTTTCCACTTGTGGGGGAATGAGGGGGAGCCTTTCCTGCTTTGTGCGGTCCCTGTTATGGGGGGAGACAAGAGCTCAGGACTGTGTTCTGACCTCGTGGAGCCTTTGTTTTCCTCCCTATGCCTGTCTGAGGCTTGGTGTGGACATGGCCCTCACGTCCCATCCTAGAGGGTCACCTCGGCCACGTCTCCCCATGTGCTGCTGCCTTTTAGCCCAATGATGATTACTGCGCATTAAATATGCAGACACAAGCCTTCTGCAAACACTGCTGAGCTTGGCGTGTGGATGCAGAACAGGAGCTGGGCCAGGCAGGCTTACTGTGGGTGAGGGGCACAGACAGACCAGCCGTCACCAGGGTGCAGAGTCTGGCCCATGGCCCAGCCTTGCCTCGGCTTCTCCTGCCACAGTCCCCTCTGGATGGCTCAGGAAGAGGGGCAGAAGTCTACCTAAAGTAGAGAAATAGACCTCAGAAAGAAAAATTAGTAGAATCAGAGTGTATTTTAGTTTGATAAATGAAGTAGTCTTTAGTCTTCAAGTGTATAAAAAGATCGTTTTAATTCTATTTTAGGGAGCTATTAAATATCTCTGTGACTAGAGAACAAGGGAGAATTGAAAAAGCTGTCAGTAAAACTTTCCAAGCTCTTTAAGGTCGAGAAGCCACCGAGGGGACTTGGTGTTGTTAAAAGCATCCGGGTCCTCGGGACCTCTGTGAATTTGCGTTTGTAGGAAGCAAGCCTTTGTGGACCTCGGTGGCACTTTTACCAAAAGTGAGCTTTGCCTTCCAGATTCCGTACATAGAAACCAGTGCCAAGGACCCACCTCTCAACGTCGACAAAGCCTTCCATGACTTGGTTAGAGTAATTAGGTGAGCACTGCACGCCTCCCCAGAAACAGGGCCTCTGCAGGGAGATGGGCACTGGGAGGGCTGGGGGAACACACGGCTCCTGGATCCGAGGCCAAGGCTGGGCGTTTCCAGGCCCGTTTTGGGATTCCTTATAGTTCTGTTCATTCCTTTCCCCTGCCCTGCCTACCTACCTTTGCCCTCCCCTCTACCCGTGGCTGAAGCTGATCACTAGCTAAAGAGATGTGCTTTCCTGTCTGAAGCAGCAGCTCAGCCTCCCCTCTGGCCTCCCCTCGGTCCCGCAGCTCGGCCTCCCTGAGAGCCCCCTCCATCCTGCCTTCACTGTTGTCCCAGTACCGCAGCAGTCAACACCATAAGAAGTGGGTCCATCTCCTCTTCCCTGCCCTGATGTCAGAGCGCCCTTGACATGTCATCTGAACAACCAACATTCCGATTCCCAGGCTCAAATTTCAGAGGCATTGTACATGTGCCTCCTTTCCGGACTCCAACACTGTCAGTCTCCAAGGAGCGTCAGAAACCCCAATCAGTAGCCTCCTACACACTCCTGTGCACAGTCAGGGTTCAAACCTTAATCACCTTGTACTCAGATGACAGCATCCTGGCTGGTCTCCCTGTCACCCACCTTTCCCATTTCCAACATCAACATACAGAGCAGCCCAGCCGGTGGTTCTCAGACACCATGCATATAGTATGTTGCGTTATGCTGGTGAACTCTTAAGGCTGCTGCTTAGTTATGAAATCACATACTGGGCTCTATTAGTGTCCTTCCCACCCCACGGACACACAGATGAGCACACTCACACGCAGACCCAACAGCCTCCTCTTCTCTTTATTCTGTAGCGTGGACTGTAACATTGCAGCCTCCACCTTATACTGTCGCTGGCAATTCTGCACTCTTGAAATTATTTTTTCGTAGGCATTTTGCCTCCAATTAGGATACATTATCACCAGGAGGTCGTAAGTTCTTGGTTATAGACCTATACTTCCAAGGGCAGGTTTTAGACATAGGAAAAATTAACAGAAAACATGTAAAAAGCTTTTGTACTCAGCTGACCTGTCATTTTAACTAAAATATGAAACATGGAAATAGAGACCAACACTCTATGTGTGTGTGTGTGTGTGTGTGTGACACATACTTTGATTTAAATAAATGTAGCCATAGCATGATGTCAGGAACTCTCACCAACAGGATGACAAGCTTTGCCCTCTCCTCTCTCCCTCCCCACTTTCCTAGCCTCGGAGAGGCTGTCCAGGCCAGGCCCTCTTTCGGTGGGTGTCCATGAGCAGCAGCATCTCTGCCCCCTCAGCTAGAACAGGCCTCCCTTCTGCAGACCCAGGGGCAAGGGAGGAGAAGGGCAGAGAGAAGCAAAGCCCACTCTGACTATGATTTTCTGCCCTTCATTGTCTCAAAAGGCAACAGATTCCAGAAAAAAGCCAGAAGAAGAAGAAGAAAACCAAATGGCGGGGAGACCGGGCCACTGGCACCCACAAACTACAGTGTGTGATATTGTGACGGGCCTGAGGCCTTAAGCACAGTGACCATGAACTGGCCAGTTCTTGGGACCCCTCCACTGCCTAACCTCACTGAAATCCATTTCTAACCATGACCCTTGAACCCGAGGACTTGGCACAGAAGGAAAAGGGAGGGAGGCCAGGGAGGAAATGGGGCCTGGCTTTGCCGGAAGGGCACAGGCGTTCCCATGTCTCATAAGACACAGGAAGCCACGCTAAACAGAGGTCGCATCCAGCCCCTCGTGTCGATTCAGCCCAGTTCCTCCCCCTCTCCAGGTGGCTGTGCTGTTTCTTCGAACTACACAGTGTTGGTTTGATGTGGAAGTGCTTATCCACGTACAAAGTACAAAACAAGCCATGAACAAGCTCCCCCCTTGTCTCCAGTCCAAAGTGTCTGAGCTTGGGTGTCTTTTGTAGATTTTTAAATTATTTTAGTGGTTATTATTGTATCGAAGGGGTCTGTGCCCACTGCCTGGCGAAGTTTCAGGTCTTCGGCAGACCTCTCTAACAACGTGTCTGGAATATTGTTGTTGTTGTTTTTTTTTTTAACTGAGCTTTCCCAGCAGTGCCAAAACTCAACTCAATATGAAAGTAGAATGACCGAGAGACTGGAAGTTAACGAGGACTGTAGGAGGAAGCCTCAGGAGAAACAGACGCTGCTCATGGCCTAGAAACGAGAGAGGAGAGAGACGTGTTTACCTGGAGGCTTTTACAGCAGATATTAGGAGACGATTTTATTTTGCTGAGGGGAGAGGCTGGAATGAGCATGGCAGTTCTAAAAGGAGTTTTCATTATCCCGGAAATGTGTAAACCAAATAAGTGGATGGACTTTGCCGAAGTGTTCATTTCTTTTTCAGCCACTGTGGGCTGAGTTCTGTTCTTCCCAGCCAAGTAAGAGGGCTTCCTCACGTCGCCTGTGCTGCCCGGTGCCTCTCTGATACAGACACGGTGACACAGGCGTGTATGTTTCTCCACGTCAAAGTAAGCTAATGTGGACGCCATCCAGGAAATTCTAGTTTGTGCCGACTCAACCAAAAGTGATCCAATACTGGTGTTACCAAAACAGCACCAAGACCTAAAGCCATTTCCCCTCTGACAGCCACTTCTTAAGCCTGGTAAATGAACAAACCCCTTGAAGCATTTGCAAACTTAGCATTAGGTTGCCTTTCTGGCACACACTTTCATTAACCTCTCAGATATTAACTATAATATATGATGGGAGGAGAAAGGAAGGTTTAGGCGATGGCATGGCTCCCATACACCTGTTTCTACAAGGGGACAGTCCCCCAACTCCCTGACGATGCCCACCTCCCTCTCAGGTGCTGACAGTGTGAGCCAAAGACTAGATTTTAGGGGTCAGGATGGGGTGGAGAGGCAGCAGGAACAGCAGTACGCCTCTGAGAGATGGTCAGAAGATGAGGTGGCACTACTAGTGACCTCATCTTCCATATGTTACAAGTCAGATCACTAGACAAACTAGAGCATACCTAGCAGGTGGCCTGGCCACTGTTTGGAGAAAGAAGCCCGGGAAAGTGAGTGCCAGCTGGACATCGGGACACCTGTCTTCTTTTCCAGTTTTGAAAGCGTGCCGAGTTCCTAACTTGGCAAGATCACCGGCACCGAAGGGCCCAGCCGAGGAGTGATTCTGCTGCAGAATGAAACAGTTGGAACTTTCATTGGTTGAAAATCAAACTTCTTTGTCTAAATGGCCCTTTTTTCTGACCCTAAAAGGCAGGATAACAAGGAACATGCCAGATCAGGCGCCTCAGAGCTGCCCAAGATCCTGTAATGTTAATGGGCATTTTAAACACTAAGGGGACAAGGCTCTTTCTGACCCTTCTGCTCCTCTGAGCCATGTCTGCAGCAGCCCCGTATGCAGTTTGGTGGCTGGAGACAAGGAAGAGGCAAGGCAGGCGGAGAGGGGATGCTTTGCACTGAAGGAGTGGTACAGTGGTACGGGAAGCCCTACACACAGCGCCGCGTCCACTGCTGGGGAAATTCTACCGGGCGTGGAGCACCACCAGATCACCCCTGCCCACTGCGGAGCCTGCAGCTCACTGACAGCACTGCATGGCACGTCTTGTTGGAAGCAGACCAGCTGGCCTAGAGCGAAGCTCTCAGCCATGAGGGTAACCAGACAGAGGGGCGCCGACCGCTTCTGTCCTCCCAGCTCCCACCCACAGGGGCAGTGCATCTGGCCCACCCCTGGCCCCATCTTCCAGGGCATCTGTTCTGCACTCAGCCCACAGTTTAACTCCACAATGCCCAAGAGAGAAACTGGTTAAAGGATGGCCTTCTGCAGCCTCTGCTGTTGAGCCAGTGGTCAGCCTTCATCTCCTATGACCTCATCGTTCCCATAGGCGAGATGGGTAAATAACACTTTTAAAAGACAGTTCTTTGTATTCTAGAGAACCGTGGGCCCTTGTGGCAATAGCGGCTTCCAGACAGGCCAGAATAGAGTGTGCCCGGGGGCATCCCCATCCCCTCCATGGTCACCTGGCAAGGTCAGTCCGGGGAACGGGAACCAGTTGGCCATGCTGTTCCATGACTGAGGAGCCCAGTGGAACTTTTGTCTTTGGTGACATCCTGGTGTTCCCACTGGTTTTACAGGCCACCTGATAACCCCTCACTCCATGCCTTTACCACTCCGTGTGCTCAGATTTCCTTCTAAAATTCTGACACCCCCCGCCCTGCCGCCCCCTTGGAGGGCTCCTTCTCTCTCCAGCAGGGAATCCTAGCCATCCTCTCCATCCCCGCAGCCTGGGGCTGTGGCCACTGACTTCCTCTGCACTTTGCCACACGGGGCACCCTTGGATGCTTTCTCTTAGGACTTTTCCCCCCACCTTCCTGTGGCACTTACTCTAGAGAGTGCCTGGTAGCCTAGGGTGGCCTATCTCACTTTGCCAGGAGGTGTGACCCATTAATACGTGGCAGCTCTAACCCAAAGGCCCTTCACGTGGTACAGTAAGTCCAGAGCCATAGACACACTTCCTCCATTAGCAGCCCATTGGATTAGAAATTCCATGTCGGGTTTCCTTAGAATGAAAGATACTTGAATTATGGCGCAACTGTGAGCGCCCAGCTTCTGTTACACAGTATTAACAGATGGCCATGGTCATGAAATGAGGGCGATGCCTGAAGATCTCGATGATGCTGGAGCCTTTTATGTAACTTTTTATTAAGTCTTTGTGTATCTCAACTCATTAATAAAAGAAGAGGAACACTTGTCTGTCTTATTCCCTCCTATTCAAATATTCCTAAAGTTTTGCTGAGAACATTGTCAGTTGACAGTGTTCTAACACCCCCTCTTACAGGCAAACCTGAAGCGAGGAAGAGACTGCGGGGGCCATGTGAGTTCTCTCCTTCCTGCACGGCGCCAGAGGAGGAGGGTGGGTGAGAGCAGCATTTGGAGAACCAGCCTCTTGATGTTCAGCAGCCCTGGGTTTGAGCTCTGCCATCTACCTTTCTGTGCCTTTGAGCAGATTGCCCGCTTTAATGTTCAGCTGCCCTGGCTATGACTAGGATAGTAGCGTGCGCCTCCTAAGTAGACTGAGGGCTGAAGCTGAGCGTGGGACTCATGGTGAGAAGCCTGTAAATGGTGCTCTTTGTTAAGGGACACCCGTTGGATTGATCATCTGACCTTGCGTTTCATGGAAACGGCCCCCACCGCCATCCACAAGGTTACAGTCTTTGGTACAATGTGATTTTATTTCCCGCTGAATGAACTTGGTGGGTACTCGACCAAGTTGAGCCTCTCTCTCCTGCATCATCAGTTCTCTCTATACTGGATCTTTCCCATCTTAAAACAACAAAAAAGAACAAAACTTTCCTTTGACCCACCTCCTCTGGTAGACACCACATGCTTTTCTCTGCTGTCTTTTGCAGGAAGCCATCTTAAAAGTAATCTGTACTCACTGCCGTGAATCCCTCTCTCTTTAAACTCTTTAAAGGGCTCCAAATAGGCTTCCACCCATTATTCTATCACTGCCACCCTTCTTCTCAAGGTCACCAATGGCTTTCATCATGCTCAATTCAATGGCCGTTCTCAGTCTTCTCGTATTTGATCTTCTTGCACCAATAGAACAGTTGGCCACGCCCTCTTGTGAACCTTTCTTCCATCAGCTTCTAGGGTCCTGCTGCCATCTCTTAGTTTTTCTCCTTCCTCATGTCCACTCCCTAATCCCCTCCTCTGGCCCCTGCACTTTCACCTAACCTGTTAACTTTGGAGCACCCCCAATCTTAGTCCTTGGGTCCCCTTCTCTACCTCAACTCACTCTCTTCGTGATTTCATCCAGTCTTGAGACTTAAATGCCTTTTATGTTCTGATGACTCCCAAAGTTATATCTTCAGTTTGACACTCTCAAACTCCACACATATACCCGACTGCCTACTTGATATCTCCCCTTGAATGTCTCAGGTAGAGTGTCTCAGAGTTAATGTGTCCAAAACTGAGCTCCCAACCCTCACCCTCCCACACCTGCTTTACCCATAGCCTTCCCCTGTTCAGTCGACGGCAGCTCCGTGCTTCCAGTTGCTCAGGCCAAAAGCCTTGGAATCACCCTTAGTTCAGCCCTTTCTCTCACACCTCACATCTAATCTGTCAGCGAATCTTGCTGACCCTACCTGCAAAATATATCCAGAATCCACCCATTTCTCATTACTTCCACTGCTAATGTCCTAGACCAAGCTACCATCATTCATGCCTGCTTCACTCTTATCCTCCTGCACTTCGGCCAGAGAAACTGGTGAAATGGAGGTCAGACTATGTCTCTACTCTGTTCATGAAGAGGGCTCATGCTCCCTAAGGTTTGAGAATCCTTGAATTACTACATGTAGGTAAAAATAAAAGTTCCTACCACATGAAGGTAAATGGGAGCTTGTCTTGTTCTCATCAGCAAGACAGCATCTGGCTCGCCGGGCAAAGTTGCCCAGGTCCTTCCCCTCCTTCCTGTATCTCATTAAGGCGGGTCCCTCAAGGTCTGGAACTTGGGACCCCAGCATGGGTAATTAACTTTGGCTCCTTGAGATGACAAAAGGGGCTGACACCTCCCACCCAAAATCATAATGCGAAATTGTGTGTGCATGTGTTCTTCTGGGGAGACAATCACCTGTGATGAGATTCTCGCTGTACCACCGTGTGTTAACCCAGCGATAAAATGAATTGCCCCTTGAACCTCCTTTTTGGACTTCAAATCCTTCTGGTCATTTCACGGCCATTGAGAGTGGGAAGAGAAAATGAAAGGAGCAAAGATCCATCTACTCTTCTAAGAAGCTCTGACAAAATTCTTCACTTGATTGACACATCCTTGGACTCTCCCCCACAACATCCTGAGGGAGGGGGCCAGCTGCCCTTCTCCCAGTCCCCTTACATGACTAAGTGTGTGACCCACACATGACTCACTACCACCTCCCCCACTGTGGTGAGCACCACCTGCAGCCCCAACACCCTGGTCCAGAATTAGCAAAGGGGGAGAGGAAATCCGGGATGCTATGACCGCCCAGAGACTACTTGACAACCCAGGTGGGAGCCTGGCCGGGAAACAGGGACAGAGGAGGGATACGAGGCATGGAGCAAAGGCACCTGAGGTCGGATGCCATCATCTCGAAATTGTAACCGCTTAGGCCAGTGTATTAGCAAAGGGCTCTGTATTAGTATTAGAGTCACTTCAGGAGGTTGCGGGGGAAGCTCACTGCCCAGGCCACACTCCCAGGGAATTGGGTGCAATCGGCCTGGGTTGGGGCCTAGGTATGAAGACTTTGTAAAGCACCCTAGGTGATTTGGCTACAGCCAGGGCTGAGACCGCTCGCAGGTTCCTGTTATTCTGGTCCCTTGAATACTGGTCACGATCTACCGTGATACCTCATTTGTTCACATCTCCTCCATTTTCATATCCCCAGGGCCAGTGGAGGGCCTGGTGATACAAAGTTAACAATGTTTATTAAATGAATTTAATAATTACTACGGATATCAGCAGGGGCCTCCATGCCTTAAAATCTAAGCCAGATGGGCTCCTACTACCCTCCTCTGTCCCCAGCCCCGTGGCCTGTGGCAGTCCCGAGACCAGCTGCAGGCTTCAGACCATTCCTGGGGGGCAGGTTCTCGCGGTGACTTCCACTTCTGTCTTTGTTCCACGGCCTCGCTACTCAGGTTCGGCTCCTGTCTCAGTTTCCACAAAGCCCACTCTCAGTAACCATCCTCGAGCTTTGCTGAGGACTTGGAGGTCCCAGGGATGGCCCCTCTGCAGCCAGGGCCTCTCAATGGGCCTTCACCCCATGCCACACTAGAGCCTCCACCAACCCTCACTGCTCCCCTGCCGCTTCTCTCACCCTCGGCTGGTTCACTTTCCTCGGCCACAATCCCATGATCCCTTTCTAAGCTGATGTATGGTTCCAGCTATTACTAGGGTGACCAAAGTTTTCAGTTTACCTCAGACTGAGGGCTTTCCTGGGATTTGGGACACCCAGACAGTGCTGGGCAAACCAGGATGGTTGGTCCCCCGACTAGTAAGAATAAAAAATGTCACCTTGTTCTATAACGGTACTAATCACATCAATTAGGTCGTGGTTTTCAAACATCATAATCACCTGGGAGGCTGGTTGAAAATGGAGGATGTTCTGATTTGGCAGGTCTGGGATAGGGCCCGAGAATTTGCACTTCTCTCAACTTCGAGGAGACATGATGCTGCTGGTCTGGTACCACACTGTGTGGACCCTGAATTAGCTAATCTACGTTACACATTCAGCTGAGGGCTTGGCACGGAGCACAGAGTAAATGCACAGCAATACTAGTGACCAGCGAACATTTTGCTCAGCCCTTACTGTAAGCCAGGCACTATGCTATTTATACATATTATCTCATTTAATCCTTGTGGGCAGGCAACCCGTGGGGTAGGTGATACGGTGCTTGTTTTATACAAAGGAAAACCAAAGTCCAGGGATGGGAGTGACTGAGCCCACACTTGCACCCAGTTCTATCTGGCTCCGAAGCCGATGCTCAGTTTGTCACCACCCCCACCGCACTGAGCACAAGCTCATCCCAGCCTGCTACCCTACCCTTTCTCATTTTAACTTGTTTGAGGAAAATCTTTCAGTGCACCTCCCACATCCTCGCCTCCTTCCCTCCTCCCCAGTGAGCTGAATGCAAATCAACTTCCCCTGTGACTCAGCAGCAGCGTTTTGAACCTAGCTCACTGGCACTTTCTGGAGCTTCTGCACTGGGCCTCCTCCCAGGGCAAAGCCCCCAGTCCTGTCCTCCTGCTGCTTTCTTCCAGCCTCTTTGTGAGCAAGGCCAGGCCAGCCCAGCAGTGAGCACAGTGGGTGAGACCCCAGAGGCCTCGTGTGCATTCTGCGGGCCTCTGGCCTCTAGTCTTGGGGCGCACTCCGTGGTCAGGGACCCCACCTTGGCCCTACTTCCTTGTAAGGTGGCCTGAAGGAGCCCTCGATGTAGGGCACCAAAACTGTTTTTTGTTACTATAACAATCCCCCGACCCCACCAAAAAAAAAAAATTTGTCCATACTTTTTGCTCCATCTTTATGGTTGGCTTTACTAAGAATCTGGTATTTGGGGTGAACAGAAGTCGTGTGGGGCAATGGCGCAAATATGGGTCACCAGGTCTAGCCCAGCTATGCTGTGGCCGATGACCTTGACAAATTGCCCGACCTCTCTATGCCTTGATTTCCTTATTTGTCACATTGGTTTGATGATAATAATTGTACTTTTAGGGCTATTAGGTAATTGTTAGGTTTGAATTCAATATATACTTTCAGAAGAACGGATGGCACATAGAATCTCTATTTAGACGTTAGCCAAGATCCCAAAACTCTAATCAGTAAATGCTTTGGGAGTGCCTACTAGTGAAGTCAGACACCACTTATTGAACACTGAGCAAGTGCCTGTCATTGTCTTTGCATAGGTCACCTCACTCAAGGCTTGGAGGAGCTGGGCGACTTGCCCAAGCACGCAGCCCCGGTCAGTGGGGCACTAGGATGCCAGCCCAAGCCAACCTGTCCTGCAGGGTCCCCTCTGCCTCCCTTGTGGGGCCGGCCCTGGGCAGAGCATCAGCCAGGAGGCTTAGCATCACCCCACCACCGCTGTCCTTGGATTTCCAGCCGGAAAGTCTCTGCCCTGCACCCCATCCTTTCGCCACAGTTCCTGCCCTCCCACCCCCCGTCTTCCTCACCCCCAGGGCCCAGTGCTCTTCACCTGAAAAGCAGCCTCCATAGTC